TTTTTAAAATGTGCAAATAACCCACCAAACTTTCACCTTCTCTTTTCTTTAATTCATTTACTATTTAATTCATTTAACTAAAAAATTATTTCTATGTTCTGAAAGATCAAAATGAACAAATTCACTCCCATTGTTATGTTCTTCCGTGGTCTCAAAACCAAAATCCCTATCCAAATTATTCACTCTCATGTGCACTTCACACTGTACATAGTTTTATTCTTCGTCATTGTACATAGTTTTCTTTTTCGTCTTCTTCTACTCTGTCTTCTACTTCATCTAAAAATGAATTCTCGCCTTTAGGGGATGGAACATTTGAAGAAACCAAGATTTCCCCAATACGATCGATAACGGAATCAAATCTCTCTCTCCTGTCAAATTGGGTTCTCTCATCCACCTCCTCGCACTCTCCTCTCTTTCATTTTCAGTCATACGATAATCATTGACCCCAAAGCTATTACAATTATCTTCATCATTGACAATAAACCCAGGATTTAACTCAATTTTCTCGGAATCGAACTCCAAATTTGCTCCCACAACACCAACCACAATTGCAGAAGGGTTTGTATCGGACCTAAGACCCGGACCGAACCCAAACTCCATCCCTAGATCTTCCGTTGGACCTGAATCAAAATCCCAGATTTGGTCATTCAGAACATGGACTTCGCGGGTCTCGAATAGATCGATAGAATTCATCATATTGGTTTTCTTGTTCTTGATGGGCCCTCGTAGTGTTGCTGGCAATGTGCCTTAGTGGTGGTGGTGGTGGTTGTTGGGATTGAGTCGCCGATTCGTAGTGGTGAAAGCTGTGAAGATCGGAGTCCTTTGCCATTGCAGAAGCCAGAAACTGAAAAGGGATATCTGGAAGTTATTTTTTTGGACGGAAGATATATTATTCATCAATATTTGTGGTATGCCAATCTTAAAGAAGGGGGAATAGTAAATGAATTAACGATAAGAAAGAATGTGAAGTTTGGTGGGTTATTTGCACATTTTAAAAAGTTCAAGCCTATAATTGCAATTTCTTCTTTATTTTTCTTTTCTTCCCTTTCTTGTTCTATTTACATATGAGGGTATATTGGTTATTTTAAATTAAAGAAATTGTGGAAAGGACGTTCACTGCAAATAAATGCAGGAGGTAGGGATGTTTTGTGCCAAAAAATGAAAGATATGGATGTTTTCCACAATAAACTTGAAAGGTAGGGACGTTATGCGCCAAAAAATCAAAGGTATGGACGTTTTCTACAAAACCTTTCAAAGGTAAGGACGTTTTGCGCCAATTACCCCTTAGATTAATAATCTTAATGATTGCAATTATTTTCATTTTTTTAATATATATTTTCAAACTTGTTAGTTGAACAAATAAATTGAAGATTAATACAACTAATAATTAATATGTTTGATAAATACATAATACATTTGTATATTGCTAGTTGCAAATATGTATATGAAATTTCCACATCAGACATAATCCAAACAACCATAATCTGGTGATATATTAATACTAAACTATGTCAATAATCAATTGTTAATTTGTAGGAAAATGATGTATGTACAGCGTTGAAAATATGCTATATTAGCAAACTTATACTTTGATCTCTAGATAACCATACAATAATTTTATGGAAATCTCACACTACTCAATTTCATGAACTCGAGGGATAAAAGTGCAAGATTTGGAGGATGATTGTCTCCCAATTCCCAACTTTAATGAAGTGATAAGGTAGGCACATGGAAATGTTTTTTTATTATACTAAGTTTCACATTTACCAAGATTTATTTTGACAACTTCACATGCTTGTATTGGCATCGAAATTATAAAAATAAATAAATAAATATTTGCTAGGATTTATTTGAAATAACATAAAGTCTCTGTTTGAGTCACATTAAAATTTTCATACTCATTCTTTTACTCATTTTCAACCACACATTTTTCAATAAAATAATATCTTTCATCACATCATATAATTTGGAAAGTTAGATATCGACTCCATTTATCTTAAACGAATGAAATGAACTAAAATGCAAAAAATATTTAATTAAGCTAACACCTTCAATAGATTTACTTTAAGACCTTATTTAGCTCTTTATCTATTGAATTAGTAAATAACTGCACAATGTATAGAGTATGTTTTTGTTTACTGTATTTTTGTTTAAAACACACACAAACAGGGGTGGGGTGATTATTTTTGGGGTATTTTTAATGCGGAACCCGCCTCATGTAAAAGGCTCGGCTCTGTCAGGCGTTTTATCACGTACCTTAAACAAACATATGACCATGTCATAACAGAACTAGTAAAAAAATTGTACTACATTATTGGAGTGAGAATCATTAAAATAACTAGAATGAAAAAGGATAATATAGAGTGAGAATAAAGCAAACAAACATTGAACTGAGATTACACACAATGGTTAATTATTACACACAAGGACAGACGAATTAGTCGGTGTTTGGTGAGAATTAAAATTATATTTTTAGTAGATTGTGATAGGAGTTTTTGAAATGTGTAGTTGAAAAGTTATAGGACCTATGAAAGATGTGGTTAATATTGATTGTTTGACTTTGATTTAGATTAAAATCTGATTTTAATTCGAAACAAACACGGCCTAAATCATGTTTATCCAGAAAGAGAACTAAAAATTAATAAAGTTAAATGTACATCATCTCTCTTATATCAACTTTGACGTTCTGTTTGTTTTCAAAAAAATTATGGACGGAAAAAAAAATAAAAAAATTCAGGGTGTGCTACCAAGTAACACGATGTAAAATATAGTGTACACGTAGCATAATTGAATAAAAATAAAGAGATGCCTGCCATTGTACAGAACTCTAGCAAATCAGAAACAAAAGGTGGGTTTGGAGAGTGAAAGTTGAGGGAAGGATGATGTTGTTTCTTTCAAGTGAAGTAATAAAGAATGAGAGAGAAATAGGAAAAAGTTGCGACGAAAACCACAAAAGTATCAAGGAGTCACTTTCATGAGGAAGCATTTTTGTTTTGAAGGATCTATTCATACCCTTAGAAAACATTTTACTTACTAAATTTGAATTCGAGTCGAGTGGAGTTACGGGTTCTTTTCGAAAATGAATTCTTTCACCATTCTCTTCTCTATTTAGATCAAGAAAATTAATGAAAGTTTTGCAATGCATTTTGGGTGCTTGTAACTAGAATAATTGTTAGTTGTTTGCAGTATTTAGTACAGATTACAGTAAGATTAATCCAGTGTGAAAAGCTGTGTAAAGTGAGAAGAATAAATATGGGTTAGTCTAAATTTGTGCAGTGATAAAATTTGGATGATTTAATGGCAGCAACTTTAGGGTATCAGATTTGGCAGTTGCAGAAATAGAACAGGAAAAAAGACTTGTTTATTAAAAGCTGGAACAACAGGAAAAAAAGCACAAGAACAAGGTTCTGAGTCTGGATTCTCCTCATATTTACCATCTTTATAATCAGAACCAAACCCAAAATCAAGTACAAGGAGGAGAAGAAGAATCACAAAATACACGACTGGTGGCGTCCCATGAATACCATCAACATTTATATCAATCCCAAGAACTTTTTCAACAGCATCAGCTCATCTACTGTGGAAGATTAGGTATTCAGCCGCAGCCGCAGCCTCAGCCTCCAAAGATACGCTTGTCAAGTGTGGAACATGCAAGATTGCGAGAAAATATGAGAGAGAGCACTCATCTTCATCAAACGTCATCAAGATTAGGCCAAAGGAACGCTGGGGGCGAGATAGTGGAAGTCGAAGGAGGTCACGTTGTGAGATCCATTGGTCGAAAAGACCGGCACAGCAAAGTCTGCACCTCCAAAGGCCCCAGAGACCGTCGTGTCCGGCTAGCTGCACACACTGCAATTCAGTTCTATGACGTCCAGGACCGCCTTGGCTATGACCGCCCGAGCAAGGCCGTCGACTGGCTCATCAAAAAGGCCAAGGCATCCATCGATGAGCTCGCACACCTGCCGGCCTGGAATCCCATCACTGGTTCTGAAGCAAATGTAAATTTTGAACAAGAAGCAGCACAAAAACAACTAGAGGAAAATCAGCAGCAGTATCTTAATCAAGAACTGCACGAAAGCAGCACTCCTGATCTGAATGTGAACAACCCTGGTTTTCTGCTTCCATCCATGGATTCTGATGTTATTGCGGACACCATCAAGTCCTTTTTTCCAATGGGTGGTTCAGCTGAGGCAAGCTCCTCAGCTATGCATTTTCAGAGCTTCCCAACTTCAGATTTGCTATCAAGAATCAGTAGTCAGAGCCAAGATCTGAGGCTCACTTTACAGTCTTTTCAAGATCCAATTCCGCTCCACCACCACAACAACGAACAGCCTCAGCGTTATCAAAGCCCCAGCAACCACACTGAACAAGCCCATGTTCAAGCACAAGTCATATTCACTGAAACCACTCCACTTCCACTAGGGTTTGATGGCAACACAGGCTGGTCTGAACACCATCAGCAGCCCAGTTGGAATACCAGTGGAGACTCCGCAAGTGGGAGTGTCGGATCAACAGGATTCTTGTTCAATTTGCCGCCAGCGGGGCAGCCATTAGGCCAAAACCAGTTCTTTTCTCAGGGGGGACCCCTTCAGTCCAGTAATACACCTTCTTTTCGTGCTTGGATGGATCCATCGGCGATAACCATCGCTACCGGTGATCATAGCCAACACCACCACCATCACCACCATCCAGAGTTTGAGCCAATTTATCCAACATCAATATCTGGCGTTGGATTTACTTCAGGAATAGACACATTTTCTGGGTATCACTTTCCTGCACGAATTCAAGGTGATGAAGTGGATCATGATGGATATTCTGACAAACCATCACCTGCTTCTTCTGATTCTCGCCATTGATTTTACCTCACAAAACTGAAAACTCATTAGCAGGTAATAATATTCTCAATGCCCATTTTCAATATTGTTGAGTTAAATTTCATCTTGTTTCAATTCTATATGTTCTGTAATAATATATATTGCAGTAATATTTAACTTAATTTGCAGGGCTTTATCCATTTCTCAGAACTGGAGAGAGATTTCAGTGATTTAGTTTCAGGTTTTCGATCTCGGGTTTGATAATCTGTGTTTCTTGTTTTGTGTTTTCATGTGTGAATGAGCTATTAGGGCTCGACTTTGTTTCAAGATAAATTCGGATTTTCTTCTGTTTTTGTTATGAAATTCTTCTTGTTGCTAATATTTATTTATTTTTATATAGTCTTCAACACGTCCAAACTTTATAAATAAAACGAACACAAAAGAATAACTAATCAGTCCAATTTAACATACCAAACATTTTATAAATTTCGACCGTCGCAAGTTGACTATTCTGTGTCATTAACTTCCCTTTATTATTAATACCTGCCATTTTTGGTAAAGATTGAGAACATCGAATGGGGATCCATTTCCAACAATAGCTAACTAAATAAAAATCTTAAATACTAAGATAACAGATTTCAGCACTTCGCGATTGACTAGGTGGTGTTCATTGGCTTGAACTCAATTCAGGCCCAAGTTTTAGGCTTGTCGGCTTAGAATGTTTGGGTTAGCAAATATAAAGAAGGGGAAGAAAATAATTAATGAGAATTTATTTAGGGTACTGAATGAAACTAGAGGGTCCTATTTATCTTTTTTATTAATTTATTTCCTAAATTATCATGATGCGGGTCAATCTGGACTTTAGATCGATAATTTCAAATTAGGATGCGATATAGTAGTTCAAAGCACACCCTTTTACGATGGTCTATGATCATTTAGCACACACCCATTGTACGTTAGAATCTAGTAATCTCGACCAATCAATAATTGTTTCCAACCACACATGTTCGTCTGGACACAATCCTTACGTTCCCTAGTAGAACGTTGACCATCAACCGTGCATACATGTATTACCACTTTGCCATCACGTTTGATCGCGTCGCCATATCAATGCCACACATATAACCAACCATCACGCCACTGCTTTTCAATTCTTAAAACTTCCAAGGTTTTTCAACTCCCAAAATTCAATTGTAATATGATTGAAGATTAGTACTTGGCCATCAATTCAAGGTCCCCAACCAACAACTTATGGGCCTCATGAAAATCTCCATGTCTGGCTGAAAACTATATTTCATTTAATAAACAAGACAAATATTAAAAACACAAGATTTGGCTTATATTGTGATGGTGACAATTGCTTGATGAATTCGATTTTTGTGATTACGCTGAGATTTGGAGATTCCTAAAGCCTATCATCAAACATGTATGCCGAAAAGTATTTGTCAGCACAGACAAATGTCATGTCCAAACATGAAACAACATCATATACCAGTTATTCTTCGTTAAAAATAAAAAAATTAGATATAAGTAAACTTCAACTTAGCCAAACATGAAACAACATCATATACCGGTTATTCTTCGTTAAAAATAATTTTAAAAAAAAAATTAAACTTCAACTTAGCCAAACATGTATTAATGAACTGTAGACAGAACATACTATTGGGTACAAGCAATTTTTCCTGTACACATGGACCCTATAAACAACTTCATTTATGCACACTCCAAACAACTTACAACCTTCTTGTCCAAATTCATAGTTTAATTAATATGCTAATTCACAAATGATTTAGGATATTATATCAAAATTATTGGATTTTTTTTTTGGTGGATAAACAGAGGTGTCGAGCCATTTACTTCACATCAGCCTACAGAAAACCTAAACAAACAAGTCCAGAGTCTAATTTTTCTTCCTTTCCCTTTGTTTCTTCGGTTTAGGATGAACTTGCTACTCAAGATTTGCCTCGGGGGAAGCTTGCTTCAGAATAGTTTGGCTTGAATTTTTTCTTGCATGTGTAGGATCCTTTCCATTGGACAATGTGGTTTAACTGTCACAATGATGTTCATTTTGGCCAAGTTTGTAGTTTTACTTGTTTTTTTTTCTTGCTGTCGATCTTCTTTTGCATGGATGGACTCAATTCGACCCGTTTCTCCCATGGACGAACAGCTATCCATCGCTCCTTCCAGCTCCACCCACAGTTGTCTTTGCTAAGGTCATAATAAGCTTGACCAAGATACTGGCTCGAATTCGCCCTCCACTGCAAAAAACACAATAACTTGCCGAGTCATTGTCAATTGAAAGTGCGATTTAATGGAAGTCCAATTGATAATTGTAATGAATTAAGATGACGAGCCTGATGAGAAAAGGCATATGCCATGACTCGCTCCCTTCTGGCTGCTGCTGCTTCTCTCTGGTGTATCCTGTTGAGAATTTCTTCCATGGTTTCAGAGCCACCACTCCATTCTACCTGTTCGGAAAATTCACAATTTAATGTCCTTTGCAGTCAGAAAATGAAGCTCTAGGACAACTTACGCTGTAAAATTTTGAATAGATAATTGTCTTCTCGAATTCCTACTTGAGAAGTAAATAGAAAACACATTTCAATATCTCTTGAATTTACTCCAAAAAAATTGCTACAAAGTCAAATTCTCCATTATAATGGAGCAGAATACTGAGAGAGATTATACTTCATGTGGTCGGAGCAGATTTTGAAGGCAGCTCATTCCTATTTTCTTTACAGTTATGTTACAACTTGGGTTGATTTACCTATCCAGCTTGTTAAAATTTAGAACTTTTAAATAGTACAGAATATTAATGTCCAAATCAGGCATATCAGTGATGAATATCACATATTTATCATAATTTGTGGTTAGACTTCTTAAGAAACGAACAAAAACATAAATATACATGCCATGTGAATTACAGTACATAATGTGGAAGTCAATAATACCTCTACTTCATGGAGCTTAGCATCAAGTTTCAACTGATTCTCAAGTTTCTTTTGCTTTATTCGGCCCTCAGTAACCATGGAAATCCAGCGAGATCTAATCTCTGCTTGAGTTTTGCTCCAAAAATGTATATGAATCAAAGCAGATGAAGTTTGGTTTTTAATAGCAAGCCTGCCTATGACACCTTGAATTCTACCTATTCCTGTTGAACGAGGCAGGTGTTTTCTTGCCTGCAATAACAACAATTGAGTAAGGCACGATAAAAATATATAATTTTTCTAGTTGCAGATCAAGGCATGCTAAAACAAGCACTTGGTCTAATCTGCCAGATGAGAGGTGGATGGAGAGGAAAAAATCGGCAAGAAATCAAGATTTCAAAAATAAACATGCAATAAAATAATAGAGAGCACTGCAGCAAAAAAAAAACAAAAGGGAACAATCTTGAGAGTAATTATTGTTTACTTTGACATTAAAATTGCTCAGCTCCACTTACAATGTATGCCCTGAAAGCCTTCTGAATTTGCCTGGCAGCAATATCCTCAGTCGGTTGTTTGTTCTTTGTTGAAACGCCATTGGCAAGATGGGCAGGAACTTTAGCAGAATGACACTTGCAGCCATTTGATTTTTTGGCAGAATGCTGCACAAAGTGTATAAGACCATTAGGGGAGGGAATACATTAATTGAACTTTGTTGACTATATGTGCAGAGTGCAGAGAGGAGAATTTTGAAAAGAAAAAAAATAAGTGCATTGCACCAGAAGAATGAACTCAACAAGGATAACTCGTTCACCTTTCTATGATCCCATAGGTAGGTCTGTCAAAAAATATTGAGTTTTTTGTTGAAGCCAAGTTTACTTCTATGAGACAACATGTAGCAACCATACCAAGAAAAAATAACCTTAACATCTAAGAGGTTGAAATAAGTATCATGAAGGATCCTGTGGTGACTATACTATTCTAAAAGGAGTAATGATGCTAGTTTCACCCATCTGTCATATTAGGGCTATCTTTAGACTATAATCAAGAATAAACGTGAGTAATCACATAAAATTGTGAAGATGTCTGCTAGTCGTCAAACATAAAGCTGGGTGATAAGTTAGCGTTATTTAGTTATATAAGATGGCATGAAATCATTCATTCAAAACGAAACTTACCTCCACTTGCTTTGTTCTAGCTTCCTTTGCTCGCTTGAGGCAAATCATTTTCTTAAACCAATCATCCCAACCCATTTCTATTTTTCTGGAAGCTGAACAACAGTATGGAGCTTAGCATAAAACTAGCACATTATCATAGAGTTCTTTGTTTTTCTGAAGTTCACAAGAAAAAGAATATTAACATCAAAGCATGATTCTAAAGTATAAACACTGAGATTTGTTGTTCTTTCTGTGTCCAAAATAGTGCGATAGCATAAAGATCAGAGAAATGGACATTTCTAAAAATAATCTATATTAGTCTAAATCGATCACCACATCTCACTTTAATGTCCTAACATGGACTGAGAGAACAATATATGATGCAATGACTGCAATATCTCTTTACAGCACACGAATTAACTCAAAAAAGAATAAAATAAAAATAATGGCAGTGGACGAGTGATCAAGAGCCTGCCTGGACAGCTCCCCTTCTGCAGTCCGATCTTATTTTGAGTTCGGTCTTCACTTCAAACTTATCATGCCTTCGGTCTTCCCTTCTGAACTCATTCCTTAATTTCAATCAACTCATTTCAAACCAATATTTTAAACAATCATGTTACATTGCCATAATCCTTGATATAATGTCACGTGGCATTCTATCAAATCACGGACGGTTTAAAACGCATACAGTTTTTCTATCAAATCATCTACTTTATGTCACTGCTCCTGGTAAAATTCATCTGGAAATCTGGCAAAATCCTATTTTAAAACCAATACTGCCTGCCTCCTGACATGCCATAGCTTAAAGGGACAAAACATTCTAAGACAGACATAATACTTCCTTAACTAGAGCAAGAGAAATCACTTAAAAACAGTTGAACAAAGAAATTAACAACAAATATCCTCATACACAACAAATGCCATTATGACAAAGAAACAAAATTTTCATCGTTTCAATAAA